ATATATATATATATATATATATATATATATATATATATATATATATATATATATATATATATATATATATATATATATATATATATATATATATATATATATATATATATATATATATATATATATATATATATATATATATATATATATATATATATATATATATATATATATATATATATATATATATATATATATATATATATATATATATATATATATATATATATATATATATATATATATATATATATATATATATATATATATATATATATATATATATATATATATATATATATATATATATATATATATATATATATATATATATATATATATATATATATATATATATATATATATATATATATATATATATATATATATATATATATATATATATATATATATATATATATATAGTTAAATTCCCCCCTGAATTATTAGCCCCCTGCTAATAATTCACACACATCATGCTTAAGATCACCATCATAATAGTTTAGTCGACTTGCAAAACTCACTGCGTGCTGACACCTCAGCATAAAAGGCTGTCAATGTTGGTCTTACAACGCATGAGTAGCAGGTATTTTTTAAACACATGCATGTTTTTACATTGAAAAAAAAAACTGTAGAAAAGAGGCGCATTGGAAATGAAAAATCCATACAGTGGATCCACAACTTAACCTTAAGATCCAAATGGGCAAGTTTTGTTTTCAGAGCTTCAGTGAGACCGAATTTAAGCTCTGAAACGGTTAGTCTGAAATGTGTGCTTTAATTAGCAGCTCATTGAGGGACATCGCTCACACTGGCTGCTGTCTGACACTAAGACTCTAGTTTCAATAAGCACAATGTCTCTATGGTGCCTGGAAAACTGGCTCTGTGTAAGCTGAATACCTTCCTGTACTGTTTGTTCTCCATCACATCTCCGAAAGCTTTCCAAAATCATTCATTTTCCTTCGGCTCAGTCGCTTTTTTATCAAGGGTCACCACAGTGGACTGAACTGCTAAGTATTCCAGCATATGTTTTTCTTAGCGGATGCCCTTCCAGCCGCAACCCAGTACAAGGAAACACCCAAACACTCTAGCATTAACACTACAGCCATTTCAGTTTACCCAGTTCCACTGTACACATGTGTTGGAACTGTTTGAAACCGGAGCACTCAGAGGAAACCCACACAACCACGGGGAGAACATGCAAATTCCACACAGAAATGCCAACTGACCAGTGATATATAGGCTATGATTATTTTTAAGGGGAATAAAATAATAATAACTATAAAATCCAAAGTGATTAAATAAAACAACACATTCTAATGACATACTGCACAAATTGTAAAACTTCTTTAGACTCACAATGATAATAACCATAATTATGTTTTAAAATAGCAGCACCTTTCTGGCAGTTTATAATAAGTCCGTGTGAAGGAGTTGTGCGTGACACAAGCTCCTTATAAGTGCTGGCTTAAGCTCGGAGGACCGATCCATTTCAGTCGCGGGGGTGTTCAAGAACACAGCGCCTCTCAAAGCAGCAAAACGCGCGATGACCGAGCGGGATTTCACTGCTTTTGCACTGCTGTCTTCCACTACAGACAACAGAGACACAAAACACAACTCTCTCATAAAACTCCACTGCAGAAATGGAGGATTTCATCTCCGGATCCTACCCAGCGGGACGGTGGACGCGAGCCGACAAGACAACGACATTAACAGTCAGTATAGAGTCATTTGAAATTGAGGTAAAGTTAGTTTTATAATAATTTCTCCGTAATATAACTTCACAAAATTATCTCTATATATTCAGAGGTAGTATTAGCAGCCAATTACTTTCAAAGTACAACATTGTCCACAGTCAATTAAATAGCGCTAATGTTT